ATAATGAGTAATTGATCATATATTAATGAGTTTACATAATTATTGGCTAGTTTTGGAGCAATGTGCATCGATTTGAGTTTTCGGAAGGGCATGGAATAACGGTTATGGAACTTCGGAATGAGGTGAGTCTCCTTTCTAACCTTGTAAGAGACAAAATAAAATTTAAAATAAAAAAATATTTCAATAGTAATAAATTATAAATCTTCTCATATATGACAAAAAGAAAGCGAATACTAAATATTGGTTAATATAATAAAAAAAATATTCACTAATACCTTTGATTTAATAGAGATTTCATTATTGGGTATATCGTATTGACAAGTAAGATGACAATTAAATTTTATTAAAGCAATACAATCTAATAGGATCGAACAAGTCCGATCATAATTTAATTTAATTAATATTTTTTAATACTGACCCGAGCGCGAGTACAACTAATAGTATAAAAAGAAAAACGGAAAGAATACCGGAACCGGTTGGACGGGTCACATTTACAGATCACTCTACATTGTAGAGAGGAAGAGAGAGGGTTTCCCGGCGAGCCATGGATGTCCTGTTCAATTCAATCGACGTTCGCGATCTACTCTCATCACCAGACATCGACGATGTAACTTCGCCGTTATCCGCCCCGGATCTCCGTCTTCTCATGGACCGTCTACAAGTTCGTTCCATCGATATAAAATCCAAAGTCCGGCAATACATTCTCTCACATTACTCCGATTTCTCCACACTCTTCTCCCAGTGCTCCGACGTCGTTTCGAGATCCGAACATCTTTCTTCTGAAGTATCCAATTTGATCCAGCTCATCTCGGATCATCCAGTTGAAGTAGAAACCAAAGCCGTAATTGATGACATTGTGATAAGAAACAGAGAGTTGAAGGAAAAGAGGGAATTGTTAGGTTTACTTGCTGTGATATTGGAATTGAGTGATAAACTCAGGTTTGTGAAGGAGGAGATTAAGGTAGGGAGAGTTGAGCAAGCGGCGGAAGCGTTAAGGGAGTTAAAGGCAGTGTTGGTAACGAGTAGTGATAAATCGACGGCGTTTGAGGAGAGGCAGCCTTTGGTTTACGGATTGTTAAAGGATGAGTGGACTGAGTGTTTTGAGGAGGTAATATTTATATATTGTTTTTGTGTATGATTGTCTGATTGTTAAGATGATTAAAGGAAATGAATTTGCTTAAATTCTTTTCTCTGTTATGTTTTTTGTGAAACATCTTAAGCTTTGGTTTTAGAAATTGGTGATTCTTATAGCTAAACAACTATTTTGGGATTGAGGCTCATTTGTGAGTTGTCATTGTTATTGTTATAGGGTGTTTGGTGGAATATTTGGGCTTTTTACTGAAAATATGTTGAGACAGATAATAACAACAACAACAACATACCCAACATTATGCCACACTGTGGGGTCTGGGGAGGGTAGTGTGTACGCAGACCTTACCCCTACCTTGTGAGGATAGAGAGGCTGTTTCCAATAGACCCTTGGCTCAGGAAAGCATGAGCACCACATTAATGAAAATATAGACAGGAAGAGACAGGACCAAAAAGCCATATAAAAGCAGAATAAAAATAACAAGATAGTAAGTTAATCAACGATGAAAGAAAACAACGGTTAGTCATAAAAACCTACTACCTATAGAAAGCGAGACTGCGTGCCAATACTACTGTTATGAACACTCTAGACTATCTACTCTACTACCCTAATCCTCGACCTCCATACCTTCCTATCAATGGTCGAGGATTGTCCTTGGTCAGCTGAAGCTGCGCATGTCTTGCCTAATCACCTCTCTCCACCTCTTTTTTGGCCTACCTCTAACTCTCCGTAGGCCCTCCAATATCAACCTCTCACACCTCCTCACCGGGGCGTTTGTGCTCCTCCTCCTCACATGACCAAACCACCTAAGCCGCGTTTTCCGCATCTTGTCCTCAATAGGGATCACACCCACCTTGTCGCGAATAACCTCATTTCTGATTCTATCTAACCTGGTGTGCCCGCACACCATCTCAGCATCCTCATCTCTGCTACCTTCATCTTCTGGACATGAGCGATCTTGACTAGCCAACACTCAGCCCCATACAATATCGTTGGTCTGACCACCACTCGATAGAATTTACCCTTAAGTTTCGGTGGTACCTTCTTGTCACACAAAACACTGAAAGCGAGTCTTAATTTCATCCATCCCGCCCCAATACGGTGTGTGACATCTTCATTCTCCCTATCCCCTGAATAATAGACCTAAGGTACTTAAAACTCCTTCTCCTAGGAATGACCTGCGAGTCCAGCCTCACCTCCCCTTCCCCCCTTGAGTCTCGCCACTGAACTTGCACTCCAAGTATTCTGTCTTGGTCCTGCTCAACGTAAAACCTTTAGATTCCAGAGTTTGCCTTCAGACCTCTAGTTGCGCTTGCGCTTTTACACCATCTCGCCTCTTGTCAATCAATACAATATCATCTGCAAATAGCATGCACCACGGCACCTCCCCTTGGATGTGGCCCGTTAGTACGTCCATCACCACAGCAAACAAAAAAGGGCTGAGTGCCCACCTCTGATGCAACCCCATCTTAACCGGAAAATGGTCCGAGTGTAAACCTACCGTCTTCACTCAGGTCTTTACTCCATCATACATGTCCTTAATCAACCTAATGTAGGCAACATGTACACCTTTAGCCTCCAAACATCTCCACAAAACCTCAACTTTATCGTGCGCCTTTTTTAAGTCTATGAATACCATATGCAAGTCCTTCTTTCTCTCCCAATACTGCTCCATCAATCTGCTAACAAGGTGGATGACTTCTGTAGTCGAACGCCCCGGCATAAACCCAAACTGGTTCTCGGAAATAGACACCCTCCTCCTCGCCCTTAGCTCTGCCACTCTCTCCCAGACTTTCATAGTATGGCTAAGCAGCTTGATACCCCGATAATTATTGCAATTTTGGATTGAGACAGATAATAAATGAAGTCTTTTTACTGAAAATGAAAATATATTGAGACAATTATTATAAAAGAAGTAGTCTTTTTATTCTGGAGTAGGGATTTTGATGTCCGTATGGAGATACATTGGAAAGAAATGGGCCTGAATAGAGAGTGTGACTAACTAGTTTGTGAATTGAAGCTAGTTTATCGATTAAATTATTGAGATGTATTAAAGGTTAGTCTTTTCATTTTGAAGTAGTAATTTGTATGAGATTGAGTAAGGAGAGTGATTTCGATTTTTAATTTTGAAATAGTTCTGAATAGGTAGGAAGTGTTCCGAAGGATTCTTATAGCCGACACCACGTAGTTTAGCATTGAGGCACAGTTGATTGATGATATATAAGCAGTTTATCCACCTTATAAAAAATATAAGCAGTTTGTCAGATCTTCTCTATGTCCAGTCTGGTGCAGTTGTATTTTCTGTTTCTTGTAACATCTAGATGTGGCAGCAAGGAAACTGCTTTAAATTTGTCAGTTTCCAGATCAGTCTTGCTGCTCTCTTTTTCCTCGCTTTCGCAATGAGTTTGTTAATGAGCTATATATGTGAAGGAAACTAGCCAAGACATTGCTGAAATTTTTTTTGTAATGTCACTAATCATTTTTTTTTTGGGTAATGTGTATGTCTGTGTGTTTCCTGTGTTTGTTTTGTAATTATGTGTTTTGGGAGTTTTTTGTGGGGTGGGGGGTTGACAGAAGATGATATACTGGTGATCTTTATTTAGTTTCTGTGATTCTTGTTTAGAGGAATTGGATTTGGGTGTGTAGATGCAAGAGGTGCTTTTGCGATGTATGGACAATGCAGTGTGGTTTGAGCAAGAAAATAACACAGTTCACCTGAAGCATCAGTCGAACATCAAAGGCATTGATGGGATTGAGCTCCAAATAGTTTTAAAAGCGATGGATGTGAGTTTGAACTATGCCTCTCCCTTTTCACTTTATCTGAGGGTGACTCTGGAATATATTAATATTTCTGGTAAATCTTAGAGCAAATGTGATTAACTTTTAGTCTTATTTTAACGTTTTTAGGCAGTTGGTATTATGGATTATGGGCTGGCGAAAGTAGCAGATTTGATGATTAAACATGTAATCGCGCCAGTGGTGAGTTTTAGATCAACTATTGTGGTGGAAGAGACTAATCAGGAGTCTGGGAATGGTGCCGAGGCAAATCTGAAGATACTTCCATCTGCTGACCCAAATGTAATGTTTGATGCCGATACTGCAGTTCTTCGTCTTGGCTAGTCATACATGTCTGTTTATGCAAAAGCATCAGTTCAATTTGAACAAACATGTTTTATTTTGAGAGAGCTCAATTTCTTTGACATTCTGAGAAGAACTGAATATTTTTTCAAAAGTTAAATTTGTTTTGTCTGGATAACCGATAACATAATCCACTTACTTGGACATGGTTGTGAGTTCTTCAAACTACTTTTAACCTGTTTTTGGGTTTATTACGTTAATTTTTGTTCTATAAGTTGAAGAATCCAATTTGCTTTGCCTATAAAATGATGTTCCACCCCCTTATGCTTTGACGTAAAAGAGGACTCTAATTGGCACTAAGGTTTTAATTAGTAAAATTCATAGTAACCCAGTTCCTGTCTCAACATGCAGGTTGACAGTATGGATGGTGGTAGCATGTACTCTGTTCTTGTTGATATCGTCAAGTTTATTAGTAAATCCTTGTGCTTTGGAAATAGTACATGGATGCTTTGCTTTGGAAGATTAACATGGCCAAGGATGTCAGATTTGATAATATCCAACTTCCTCTCCAAGGTCCAATTCAATGTCCTTGTGCCTTAACATAGGGGGCGCTCTTTGCAATCTGAATTATTAGAAGCCATCTTTCCTCTGTGCTAACTATGAATGCTTTGATATTGTTGAGATCCTTCACTGGAAATTGTTTATAATGAACTGTTAACTTTTTATATATCCCTGCAGATGCTAGTACTCTTATTACTAAACACTAAATATATCAATTGATGTGTTAGTTTGGGTACTTCACCCTTTCATGTAGAAGCAAGGTAGGTGGCTCTTTGTATTGGATGAAAGGATAGGTAATTGTGGCAATTTTTGGGTGCCATTTGATTCACTGACTTTTCAAAAGATTTTTTTGTGACAGTTATTTAAAGATATATATTGTTAAAAGAGATCTTTACTAGATGGATTTAGATAAAGTAGCTACGAATTACTCTGAAGAAATCTAAGAATATGAGCCAATGCATACGGCTCTACTTCGGTCAATTTGCTGAATCCTGTTTTGGCTGAAGGTAAATTATCTGTTTTTCCATGAAAGTTTGATCCAATGGGCATAAGTACTTCATTAGTCTTCTAACTTCATAAAAAATAAAAAAAGTACTTCATTATAACTTTACTTATCGGAAGAAAAGATTATCTCATTAGTGCTACTATCTCTGAATTCAGATGATATCCTTAATTCCGTATTTCTTAATTCATTTCAACTCTTCCAATTCAGTTGGACCATTTGACGAGAGCTGCAACATTTATCTCAATGAATTGAAATTTTCCATGTCATTCTGGTATAGAAAGCATAGAACGTTTGAGTTGCTTTAGTACTTTTTCTCCTTTATTGATTTGATAATTTAACGATGCCTCTGATATATGCTTTTCATATCATATTTGGTTAAGTAGAAATTATTTTCAGTTCCATTTCATCTCCAAAGGGGAAGAAAGATGTTGGTGTGACCTATGTTACATGGGTCCTTCATTTGCATTGACGTACCCATGTTGAATGGGAGAGATGGTACTTCGTGCAAATCGTAAAAATTTCACAAATGAACTAGCAAAATGCTGCGGTTACGCCTAGTAGGCACTTATACCTTTATGAGATCTGTACCCTTAGCCGAGTCCATGTGATATATGGTGTGACCAATAGTTCTAGCTCTGACTTTGTCAGAGACTAAGAGCCCGTTTGGACAAAAAAAAAAAAGTTTCACTTTTTTCCGAAAAATTTTCAATTTTCTCCGAAATCAGTGTTTGGCCATAAATTTTCAATTTTCACTTGAAGATGAATTTTGGAATTCTTCAAAAATTTGAAAAATTCCAAACTCAAATCACTCACAAAACTTCAAAAAACAACCCAAAATAATATTCATGTCCAAACACAACTCTAATTTTCAAATACCATTTTCACTTGAAATATTTTTATTTTTTTTGGAATTTTACAATTCTTATGTCCAAACGCCCACTATGTTTCTTGGACACATCTAGAGGTCGGATCTTTGAGATGTAAAATCTAAGATTCGGGATACAGATCCTAGTATGCATACTGGTGTGGGGATCTGGATAAAAATAATTCAAAAAGATAAAAATATCTCTAAATTATGAGAAATTTTGTGGAATACTTACGTATACCTTGTAAAGTATGGATTTCTTTTTTATTCTCAAGCTGTAGATAAGTGAAGGATTAATTTTCTAGATAAGGTATGATATTTTCTTCAAATTTACCCTAGTTTTGGTTCTGATGTCGGGAATCATATTGTAACTCGTCTAGAATTTTTTCATCCATCGGGGTCAAAGTACCCAAAATTATTTGACCAGATCCGGCACGGATCCCATAACCACACCCATACTAGTGTCATGTCGACACGGATGCGGCACCTAAACTGCCGTGTCGGAGCAACTTAGGTCAGATATACTTAGAAATGCAGTTAAGAACCAGTTTGAAGAATCAAGTGTTTTAGTGGCATGCTTGTGTGGATTCTTCTCTTTTCCTTAGTATATCTTAGGAATATTGCGACAACTAGCACTGTGCTTTATCAGACTGATGAAGCATCAGATGTTACTGGTTTTTATTCTTTTGGATTGCACTTGATAAAGAAAACAGCTGATTAGGATTCCTAATTCTCATTGTTGACTATGTTTTATTAGATGCTAGGTATATCTTCTTCTTTTTTTTTTTTTTGAGAAAAAAAAATACAAGTTAATGATAGGTATATCTTATTGTTGAATTCACAATTTTGATCTTTCTTGTTTCAGAACGTGCCTGATGATGCTTCCAAACTGGCCGACTTCCAGAAAATCATAAAATGCACATCTGACTTTGAGGAAAGTTTAAAGGAGTTGATGTTCATTGCTTCCTCTGATGGCAAGGATGACAGATTGAGCAAATTCGCTGATAACGTGGAGGTCCATTTTGCATCCAGGAAGAAGGTTGAGATTTTGGCCAAGGCTAGAAATCTACTTTTACACTCTGACTTCCGCCTTCCAGAAGTAAGTACAAAGTGTTATACTTTTGCATTTTGAATTGTCAATGTTTTAGCTTTTGAATGTGCTGTAGAGCTCTTTCTGCAGGATGGTACCAGGAGACGCTCTAAAGTTAAGTATGATAAAAAGGCTGAAAGTTCATGTGACCTTGTTATTGATTTGCTTTTTACATCTGAGAGATGTGTGGTGTCCGAAGCAGCTTCAGGTCTAATGAAGTTAGTTCACGGAACACTCAAGGTCAGTTCACTGAAGCTTAAAAAATCATACAGAGTTTTGTTTACATGTGGGTACAACCAAATTGTTTTACTTTCACCTCTCTCCCATCTTTCTCCTTTACTTTCCCTTTTTAGCCAACTCATAGGGCCAAGGTTTGCTTACTTCTTTTGGCTTTATTTTCTGCATTTTTCATGTAATAATTAGGTTATCAACTTGTCTTCACTATTAATGTACATCCTTTAGTATCATGAAGTATCTTAATATGGATGCCTCTGAATTGACTTACCAAATAAAGGTGCTTTATATTTAGCTTCTATTCCAGTATTACTGAATGAAATATAGGAGCGTTGAAATTTTGATGTGAGAGGTTAAGTCGAATAGCATTGATACTTAAGATGTTATTGTCCAGCCCCAAGGCTTTGGTCTAGTGGTAAGAGCAAAACGCGTGATGTGGATTAGGCGCGTCACGGGTTTGAACCCTGCTGTATAAAATCCTGTTATTTAAGTGGAGAAAGTTAGAGGGGCAGGTCCATTATCCACGAGTTTCGAAGAGTGAGCCACTGACCCTTGCAGATTTCTTGGTTATCTAAAAAAAGAAGTTATTGTCCACTATCAACTCAATGAAGTCCAGGGTTAATCTCATTATAATCCCAAATTAGCTGTGACAGGCTCCCTTGCATGAGTTAACAGTGTTCTTTCTTTTATTTTCTTTCCCCCTTTCCTGTATGAGCAAAGAAAGAACAGTTGTGCCCCATCAGCTATCTTGCAGAGATCGAAATATTTCCGCCAGCTCTGATTGATTATGCTTGCTGTGTTTTGAACTTAAGAAATGCCTTTTCAGTAATTGCCAAAGCAATGTCATTAACTAGGAGGCATTTTTAGTACCGTGTTTTACTGAATTTTGTCATCGAAGGCATGTTCTTCCAAAAGAATTGTTCGCCTGAAGTCTTGATCACTGTGTAGGGAGTGCATGGTGAAAATTGGGGTTGTTGAAGTGTGTGGCCATCTTATCTAAAAGTTTAAGCGGTTATAGAGAGCACACTTTTTTTACTTAATTATGTCTTCTACATGCCCCCTCAAGTCTTTTCCAGGGTCAAGCATGTGAAAATTCTTTTTATAATAGGTGGTGCTGAGACTTGAAACCAGGACCTCTGCCTGCTTTGATACTATGTTGAAGTGTGGGACCATCTTATATAAAAGTTTAAGCTGTTAGAGAGAACACACTTATATTTACTTGTTTATGTCTTCAACAGGGTAATTGACCTCAATAACATTGATTAAACATTTTAGTAAAACAAAACCCAAAAGTATACTAACTTTTGTATAATGTGTTCATATTTCAATTGTTTGTGATGTGCAAGTCCTTTGTTTAATGGATGAAGGCTACAGTGTGTTTTTAAGCTGCAGAATCAGCTGAAACCAATGGAATATATTTTGCATGTCTTTTATCTTTGATAGTCATCAGTTGAAGAAATTTTACTAGTCTTGCTTCTCTGGCTCTTCTGCCCATTCTTACTTTTTTATTTTACCTTGTACTTTCTCGCACATGCTTTCATCTGATGACCCCTGTGGAAAATGGTCCGATCATGCAGGATGTCTGCTTGTCATCTCCTAGAGTGGGATTGGAATTCTATCATGCTGCTAGGGATTCTCTACTTCTTTATGAAGCTGTCATACCTGTCAAGGTAACTGCTAAAGAGAGCTGCATCATAAAGAAGCTTACCTGTGCAGCACACGCTTTTCCTTTCTATCCGACCTTTTTCAATCTCCTGCACATATGTGAATGCATCTAGCAAAATGTTTCTTTTTCTTCTTCTCAAAAAAATGTTTCTTTTTTCTTTCTTTATTACAACCTTTTGAGCCTTCAGGGAAAGGGCAGTTTGGTGTCTGTTTTTTGTGCCTTTTTCATGATCATAATTCCTATATTTTTAATGGTTATTCTTTTTTTCTTTTTCTGGTTTCCTCCCCTTGTTTTGACTTGGAAAGTTCGAAAGGCAGCTTGATTCCATCAACCATTCTGCCGTTCTTATTCACAATGATTGTCACTATCTATCTCAGGAGATTCTTGGACTTGCATTTGAGGTAAGCATGGATGGAGAAATATCTTCATTCTGTTTTAGTTGATTTAATTTGCTCTGGTTTTGCATGTCCTACTGCAAGCAAAAAATAATCCTAGAATCCGAATCTATGTTGCTCGGACTCTCCGAAAATGTGGCAGGATACGTGTCGGATCCTCCAAAAGTAGTGCATTTTTGAAGGATCCGATACGGGTGCGGCTACATTTTGGAGAGTCCGCGCAACATAGATCCGAATTAGGTGTCCAGTATGAATTGATGTGGTCAGGAGAAAAATAAGAAATATGCTTTCTTTACTCTTAACTTGGCACCCACTTATCTTGTTAGTTTCAAAAAAAAAAAAAAAGGATTTTAAAAGTTGGATTTAGTTAAAATGCCATGTCTTGACTTTTTGTGACATATAATATATGGTAAACTTTCATTTAATTTTAGTATAGGAGCAAAAAAAAAAAAACAACGCCGTATCTTTACATGATCTTACAAGGTCGAGGAATAGCCTCTTTCCCTTGTTTGTATTTGGTGCTCCCATGAGGTTTCCTTTATGTTTAAAATATTGTTTGTCACTCTTAGAAAACCATCTATTTTGGTAGGTTTTCTACTTTGTGGTATACTTCTTATATAAGGCTGTTTCTGCCCAAACTTTCAATAAAATCTTTTTACTTTATGAATAATGATTTTCCAAGGTAATGGTGTGTCTTCCAGCATGACCTTCTGTTCTGAACCCAGCCATTTCTGATTCTCCACGAGAGCACCCTAGGGTTTTTTATGGGTAAAGAGAGTTCCAGAGGACATATTTGGTCTTTCAAAAACTAGCACTGTGATACAGTGCGCTTTCTTTTTTCCTTTCTCGAGAAAAAATTAGCACTGTATGATACAGGTGTGATGGGTGATCCAATAATAACTGCATAGATCTATGGCAAACGTTGTTTGCATTCATTACTTTGGATACTATAGCATAATTAAGAAGTGAAGTTCCCCAAGTTCTACGATATTTAGCTTGGCTGAGGTAGAGAGCCTAAGCTTTTTCCTTTGCATGCACATACTAACCATGGGTTTTCTAATGCTAATTAACTTTGCACCATTTATGGTTTGAATATGACATGAGCAACAGCAACAACATAGTTATTGAAGAATTGAAAGGCATTAAATCTCAAGCTTCCACCTCTTTCTTGGTTGTACTACTAGTATTTTCGCACTTGTGTTTCCATCTGCTCTTTCTTTTCATTATTGGTTAAAGCTGACAGTAAATTGTTTCAGTATCGCTCAGACTTTCCAGCTTCAATAAAGGAACTTGTTGTTTTTGCGGATTTGGCTCCAAGATTCCAGCTGCTTGCAGAAGAAGTTTTACGAAGACAAATTAAACTTGTCATTTATAACCTAAAACAGGTAACTTTTCCCCCAGACCTTACACAAGCACATTTTGGTTTCCTACAAGTTGTATACATCTCAGCTAGAGGTGGCAAAATGGTTCAAAGAAAACAGTTATCCACCCATATTATCCATTATAAAATGGGTTGGATGATGAACTATTTAAAAACGGGTCAAATGTGGATAAGAACCATATTATCCATTTAGAAAATGGATAACCAGTGGGTAACCAATGGATAACAAATGGGTCTAACTTTTACATTTGTAAAGCCTCAAATTGGGGGTTACTCAAGTTAGGGAGACTAAGAATTCTTCAAAAAGTGATCATATGCAAGAAGTCATGGATAAAAAGAATACCCTTTTTTATCCGTATTAAATATGGGCCGGGTCGGATAATTTACCCGTTTTTATTATCCGCTTTCGACCCGAACCATATCCGACCCGACCCGCCCGTTTGCCACTCCTAATCTCAGTGATTATATTTGCTGGCAATGACGTGATTCTAGGCTATCGATGGGGCTGATGGATTTCAAAATACTCACCAAATGAAGCAATATGAATCTGCTAAGTTGAGCATTGACCAGGTACAGTTTAGGGATTTGTACTTCCTGCTGGAAATGGTTTTTACATTAAATATTTAATCCTAACAATAGGGCTTAAGCATTTCCTTGCAGGTGATTTTCATACTTGAGAAAGTATATATTATATGGCACCATTTACTCCTACCTTCTGCCTACAAGAGAAGTATGAGCATGGTGCTGGAGGCAGTCTTTTCTAGAATAGCAAATGATATCCTCCTTCTAGATGATATTGCTGCAGAAGAAACATTGCAGGTGAGGACCAAAAGTTTTTCTGTTATTTGACCAGGAAGCTCCGGACTCTGCATGTATTAAGCCATCGAATTGTGTGCAGGAATAAGTTACCAGATTACTGTCTGCTACTTTTTTTAAGGATGAAGACTGCCTGCTATTTTTCTTTTTCCTTCAGTTCTTCATCCAAAAAAAAAAAAAGCAAGCGGTTTCTTACAATTCTTTGACCTTATGGGATGATTTGTTTGTTTACAGCTCCAAAGGCTGATTCATCTGCTATTCGAGAATCTGTCTTCTTTGTTGGACTCTGTAGTGGTTATCAACCAGTCAGGAAAGTTGCAGGAGTCTCCTACACAAACTCTTGATGATCTTATACCATCTCTCCGGAAATTACGCAAGCTAGCAGGTATTCCCATTGTTGGAAGTGCTTATTCCAGAAGGAAATGATTCTCAACCTTACCATTTTTTTTTTCCGTTGGACAATGTGAATAGATCTTCTGGACATGCCTCTGAAATCCGTTACTGAAGCTTGGGAAGCCGGTGAACTTGTCAACTGCGGTTTTACGCAAACAGAGGTATGTATAAAGAAACCAGACATTAATTAAGCTAGTTACAAGGTAATATATTTGGTTGGGTTGTGTGCACTGTGCTTCGCAGCTAGAATGAGGATCTTTAGCAGAACATCCTAAAGAAAGAAAGAACTGTAACACAATCTGTAATTTGCTAACTATCGGCCTAAAGCAGTGTCTTGTTTGGTGCATTTTGGGTCTCTTATCTTTTTCTTGAATTATCATGTCATATTCATTAGCTAGTTGGTTTTACAGGTTGAAGACTTTATCAGAGCCATATTTGCAGATTCACCTCTGCGGAAAGAGTGCTTACGGAGAATAGAAAGTATATGTTACTGAGCTTTCAGTTACAGTTACAGTTAGCTTTTTGGTTGCTACAGCTAGGAGTTTACCTGTGTCAGATCTCTCTTAACCTCGATAAAGTAAGCTATCAGTTTTTTTCCCCGCTTCAGGAGCCTTCTATGTCCAATGATTCTAAGCGATATTCAAAGAAAAGCTCTCTTTTATGTATTCTGCTGAGGTTTGGTAGTTCAAATCAGAGAATGTACATGTTAGGGTCTTCATGTGAAATGTAAATTGGTTCATTTTACGTCTACTTTCATTTGAAAAGACTAAACAAGGGCGAGAATATGAGCATAGCATAAAACTGACAGACAAATGACACATTTTAGATTCATTGAGTTGATGAGAACTAGAGTTGGACTGTAGTTTCTCAATTTAGCAACTGTAATGTGAAAGGATGCTCTCATCTTACCGCTGTTTCTTTTGGGCTGTTAGATTTAAGTAAGTTCTTTCAGTCACTTGTAAATTCTTTCTTCTTTGTAAGCATAAGATTTGTTCATCATTCTGAATATGTCAAATTTTGAATGTGGGTGCTGAAACACTGCAACTATGTGCATGTCGCACCCATTTAGAGTAAGTAATACCTATGAGGGGCACCAAGAGTGTGGCCTAACAGTCATAAAGTTGTAACAAAAACCATGGACATCTTCTGATTTCAATTGAAGGGCAAAGAATATGCCTAAACTTGGTGACATTAGTTACGTCGGTACATGTACTGGAAAAAGAATGCAGTTACCAGAGTGCGCGCATACAGATTAGGAAATCATGAGTGTTAAATGTAAAGCCTATAGGTTATAAGTAGGGTGTACATAGATCGGGTTGGTTCGGATTTTGCAATTATCAAACCAAACCAATAAAACTCGGGTTTTTCACTCTCGATTTTTTCCGGGTTTTTTTTGGGTTTTTGGGTTATTTGGGGTTTTTTCCGGTAAAATTTTCGTAGAACAAAATATATAAAGTGTGCTCAAAATATTTCTTTAATCCTAGTAGATACAACTACATAAAGTATTTTCCAAGAAAATAATACAAAATATGAGATTCATGACATTATACTAAAATATTCAACAATAAAGACAATAAAAGTATGTAATATAAATATTGCTAATTAAAAAGTCATAATAAAAATAAACATAATCTAAAAGTAATAAGTCATGATAAAATAAGTAGACTAATAAGGGAGTATTAACCACATGACTATACGCTAAAGAAAAAATTAAAATAGGTTATGCATTTTTTATCTAAATTATTGCAAAACAAAATATAAATATTCAATACATTCCCGTTCATAGTATTGAATTGAATGTCTTTTGTTAGCATTAATATTGATCTGATATTGGTTTAGGTTTTTGTTAGCATTATTTAGTTTACTATTGTTAATTGCTATAAACCTTATTGGAACATTCAAAAGTTCTAAGTCCAACCTTGAAATAATACCTTAAAAGATAATATTATGAATTTTTTAAGAGATATTTATAAATTACATCACAATAAGTATATTTTTATATTAAATATATGTAAAATTTCTATATATGCAATGTCGGGTTGTTTGGTTTCGGTTTGACTTTCTTTAGTTAAAATCAAACCAAACCAATTATGGTCGGGTTTTTTTTCCCCACACCAAATCAAATCAAACCAAACCATAGTCGGATTTTTTTTTCTCATTTTAACTCGGATTATCGGATTGGTGCGGTTTGTCGGTTTCCTTTGTACACCCCTAATAAGGACCGCAAATGCATAGACACAAAAGTTATGGTTGTCCACTATCAACGGTTCATAGCCTAATCTCTTTCTCTACATTATCCTTTTAAAACCGTAGCTACTTGAATTGATGGTTACCTCTATCGGAGATATTTGCACTTGGAAGTTACTCATGTTGATCTTTGTATGGACTTTGGCACACCGTTACATTAATCTAACTATATAAAATTCAAAAATTATAGTAGTGTGTTTTTAAGTGAAAAATATTATTTTTTGTAAAGGGTGAGACAAACATAACAACCTGAATAATCCCAGATGCAGCTCCTAACTGCCCAGCTAGGTACGATCGCAAACATAAACAAATGAGGCACGGCTTGCCTTAGTGAGCTCACAAAAGAGGAAAGAAGGGGAGGAGAAAAAAACAAACTAAAGACTTGCTGTAATCCGTGTAGATTTGATATTTTGAAATTTCAAATACGGTGTAACGACGTTATAATTTATACGAAATACCATAAATGTATTTGATTAAGTATTACATGATCCTGTCGCTTTCGATACCCATTGTTTTTCTTCTTTTTTCTCAAAAAATTATTCACTTCCCAACATTTTATCAAATAGTGTATATCTAATCCGGAGATACAAGGGACTCCATCTTGCACTATCATATTTTTCGGAATCGAATAGAAACTTTTGAGCCTTACATATTTCTCTATCAACCTTAAACACTACAATTATATCATAATTCTCATCTTAACTATTAATCAATCATGATGAACGATTTAACCGTTGCTTTAGAGAAAAACTTCGTGGCTTTCTAATTTTTCTAAGTTATAACACACCTCAGTTCCTACCCCCCCCCCCCCCCCCCCGGGCCAAAATTTAAAGGTAAAAAAAACACGCATCAAGCAGACATAGATTGAAGTACTTAAATCTTAAGTAAGTGACAGTCCAATCATCCATCGCATTTGACTATCTATTTTTTGGTCTACCAAACACATAACAAACATGGCTACCACCTAATTAATGTTTCTTCCAATAACCATTCAAACATTATAACAATATTACAGCATGAATTCATTCCGAGTATAACGAAACAGAATACTTTAGTTATTAATTACTTGCTGTACGTATGAGGAGCAATCGAACAAATTTATCCTATAGTCTTCTCTACTTTTCTTTTTAGCTCTTTACTTTGAATGCAGGGCTTAATATATGCTTGTCTCTAAATAGATTGACAACTTAATTGAGAGATCTAAACTAATTTGATCAGCATTATTTGAGCCTTGAGAATGCATTTCTACGAGTTTGAATCTCTCTTTTATGATGGTTGACGAATTCAAAGGACAAAATACAAATGTTTATCTTGGAATTGGTGGAGGAATGAAAAAGAAAAGAAAAGGAGGAGAAACATCAAAGTCTTTAACCAAAAATATTAACGCTTGTTTTTCTTTACCCCATAAAATACTTATTAAAAGTCGAACGAGCTAGTATGAAGCCCTACAACGTCATCTGATTACTTCATAAAAGGTAAAGGAAAATGACGTATGAACTTTTAAGTGACTAAACAAGTACTTTTTTAATCATCTTTAGTCCTAATTTCCTCATGTTGCTATTTTTAATTGATAATCATTTCTCGTTCTTATTATACTACTAGTAGAAGTTTGTTTAACCTCTGCCATTTATAAGACGGTTTTTGCTTAACATGTGATTCTTTTCATTTTATTTTATGTGGTGGTATTTGATTATGGATACTTGAACAGAGTGTTACATTTATTTCACACACACAAATATATATATATATATATATATATATATATTAATTAGTGATGAATATAAATGATTTAATGAATTTTAATTTTTGAAAATTGAAAAATATTTAGAAAAATATAATAGCGTCAAACATTTTGGAGCTCAACAAAACGAGAAGATAAAGTGGAGGAGATATTATTTACCATAGTTTTCGGATACTCAGGACTTACCCGATCGAAAAGGGTGTAATACCATGCACATATACAATCATGCACTTTCCTTACCCCAAGTACTGTTCAAATTTAATCCTATAGGTTTATTTTTTTATTTATTAATTTATGGGGTCCTATGACTTTTGCCAAGTCGCTGATTAGATTGAATAGCTGGAATGATGTGTTCCAACTTCCTTTTGTGTCTCTCTTAAGAATAAGCGAGATTTGGAATTAGGATATCAAATTTTTTTTTGGTCTGGTACTCGTATTGGAGCCCGACTATATCCGGATTTGCGCCGGGTAGTGCCCCATTCAAAGGGAAGCGCTCTCTACCAAGAATTTTTTCATACCCAGGGCTCGAATCCGAGACCTCTGGTTAAGGGAGGAGCAGCCCCATCCGCTGCACCACATCCTTTGGTGATATATCAAGTTATTTTTGTTCTTTCTTTATTTATTTTATGATTATATTCGTACCTAACATCGATTTTCTCTGATTTTACATAATTGTCAACTCTTTTATTTTATTTTGGCGGGAAAAGAAAATTATTATTGGTTGAGAAGTGGGAGCAACGTGTTGATATTTCAACTGTCTTCCTACTCTCTCCAAAATTTGGAACACACATATTATAAGAATAAGTCACGGTCCAATATTCAAAGTTCTTCTCCCCCCTCCAGAATGTGTGTAAATATGACAAACAATCACTAAATGAATGGACAGCTTGGGTATGTCAGCTAACAAACCACTTCTAACCGCAATAAGAATGAAAATGATATTACAACAATAATACTATTCTTTTTCTCTCTTTTTTTTAATTATTGTTATTTTCGTGGCCTTATGACTTAATATTGTAACAAGAAATTATGTTGGACAGACCTTCTTAGGACCACCGTTAAGAAAGTCTTAGCAAAATAAGCTTCGTCCAAAATATTGAAGTACGCTAGTCAGAATTTTGGGAAGTGGCCATGGTAATCGCCAAAATTTGAAACACCAAGTATTCAGCTACAATACAAAAACATTCTAGTAATCCAAATAATTTTTAAAACATTGTGGCTGAAATTTCTGGAGATGGTTAGGATTTTGCCACAAATCCTAATGGATCAATATAACTTACTGAAATCTTGACGAGCGCACTTTAAATTCTAGGGTCGGCTATTTTTCCAAAACTTCTGGTCAAAAAAATCAATCGTGACAAAAAAACATCCTATTTGTGGCATTCTCCCCTTATTTGTCTCTTCTATTTGATCATCCACCGACAACGGAAGGTAACTTCTGTATTAAAACAGGTAAGGCCACTTCTTTGCATGGCGCCTTTCACTTAAAGTTATAATATATGAATATCAATTAAATCAGATGAAAATTGAAACAACCTGCGTAAAGATGATAGCTGTAATATTTAGAAAACTGAGTCGACGATAGATATAATCAGTCAAATGCAACTAATTAGAAGTTCAATGCGCTAAAATTGAATTTATTAACAATAGAAAAGAATATCTATCATTAAAATTTCGTACGAGGCTTGAAAGTCTTATTCATTCTATTTATTTGATGGCCAACTCAAACTGTTCTATAACGAACCTTGTGCCAACTATTGTCGTCACCACATTTTGCCTTAAATTAGTGTTTCACGCAATCGTGAGGGTGTGTTTTGGCCAATAATTAGAGACTATATTCAAAGATGTATTATTTATATTATTAAATAAATAGAAAAGCTAGCTAAGACAGATGGTAAACCACTTTTTTTAACTAAAAATGAAATAAAATATTGCCGGCTTGTGCCTTTCTTATGGCTTTCTTAAGTTTACAAGATCATTACTGTATAAGAGGATCACTTCTGGTTCTTGTCTCCATCATATTCTAAAAGTGTT